ATGTTTATATCTATGTTTATATATAAAAAAAATCTATTCTTATAAATCCTTTCACTTCATCGTTAATAATTTTTATCTATCTTGAAAGATAAATATTTATCTTTAACATTTTTATCTGAATAATAAATAACCATCTTTAACATTTTTTATCACTCTAAAGTATTTCAAAAATCTAGACCAATAAATACCCCATTTTTAAAAACATATTATTATCGAAATGCATATTATTTATCTTATGAGCAAATTGAAGAAATTAGGAGGCTCAAGAACAAAGTTCCTATATATAAAGTGATTGGTGATTATCATATATGTAAAGAGTGCATTCTTGATATATGGAATAATTGTGAGCATCTTTAACAAGGAGGAAATTATAGGCACACTCTAGAAACTCCTATCGACACTTCAAATAAGCAGGTTAAGAAAAAAAAATTGAGACCTAAATTGGTTCAAATTTTTGACTCACCTAATGTTATTAATAAGGGTGATATATCCAATGATCTGATAAAAAATGAAATTACTGAAGACTGTCACAAAGTAGCTATTTTATCAACTGAAGAATTATCCTCTAAAGATGTCTTGGATTTGTTTAAGAGAACTAATAGTGATATAGAAAAAATTAGAGAATCTGGTCGTACTCTTAGGCCTTAGCTTCATATTGTTCAAGTAAACTATTATAGTATCCTATTATTTCTAAATTTGATTGAATGCTAGATAATAATGCATTTTCAAGCTCTTTTATTCGATTTTTCATACTTTCATGATTTACATAATTTTTTTTTTAATTCTTCATTAGATAAAGAGTTAGAATTTCGAGTTTCCAATTTATCGGAATTCAATATTTCTGTGATCTCTGTCTCTTTTGGTGAATCCTTTGCTATTGGAGCCTTGCTGAATGTTGGAATTATATAAGACTTATCATGAATATTTATACAAAATTGATTATTATTTGGATCAAGAATATCTTGAACTTTTTGAATATTTGACATGCCTAAAAATAGCATTGGTTTAGATTTTCCATTATCAATATGAACAAAATTTTCAATAACTGTAACAGTTTTATTTTCTTTATCCTTTAAGATAACTGGCACATCCATATACCATCCTAATGAATTGGTAATATGTTTGGAATTGCCCTTTATAGTAAAGTCAGATAGTTTATCAACCCCCATTCAAGTGCCTTAATTGCAGGATCATTTATCACACCGAATTCAGATCCAGGATCTAAGAAAGATTCAGAAATTGATAAATCATTTATATTACAATGTAAGTATTGTAAAGATGAAAACCACTCATCTGATTTTTTCTCTTAAACCTTTTGAGACAGACACATTTTATGTATTTTTGATGAAAGCTTTGGCAATTGCTGATCATATGGTTTATTTATCTGTTTTTTTTTTTAGAATCATTATCAAGCCATATGCCGTTTTCTTCTTCATACCCACTATTATCATCATCTTCATATTGATGATATAAAGATTTAAGAGGTGTAAAATAAAATTGAGTAAAATTAGATTTCACAGTATTATCTTTATTTATATTTATTTTTTGAAATTCTTCGATTAATTGGTTCACAGATCCACAAGTTTCATTCAGTCCTTTTTCCACTCTTCCTATTTTATCATTATGTGTTTTTTTTATATCATCACTACACTTTTTATATGTTTCTATAAAATCTACTAATGGGCCATCTCTATATTCCATACCATATAATTCTTTTAATAATATAGCACTACCAATTTCATCTATATTTTTTGGTGGTATAGGTGGTGATATTTTTTTCGATTTTTGTTGTAATATAGATTTTATTTCAGCTTTATGTTCAATATTATATTTTTCTAATATAGATTGAAATTCGTTTTTCTGTTTTTCTAATAAAGACTGATATTCAATTTGTTATTAAGAAACTGGAATAACTTGTGATAAAGAATAAAATACTGGATTTAAAGTAGTTTGACTTAATTCTTCTGCAATTCTTCCACTTAAATTTGATGTACGCTCTAACCACATATTTTTTTAGTTCGGTGAAAAATTTATTAATGCCTCTTGGATTAGCAATTCTCATCCAAGTATAAAAATCACCTGTCAAATGGCTTTTTAGGAATCCTAAAACTTGTTTATCATTGTCTGCTACTCTTATTATTAATGGTCAAATTCTAGCTTCATAGGTATCTGGAGTGTTATAAGGCTGATATTTTTCCTGAGTCAATCTTTGAATAGCTGATTGTTGATTTTCAATGGTATCCCACTGGTATTTTGCTCTTAACCATTCTCGTAATGTATCTGGACTATTGATATTAACTGCAGGATTTACAAAATTATTTTGAGCTGGTACTGGAGCATAT